TAATTTAAGATGTTTATTTAATTTTTAATACACTTAATTCTTCATTTTATTAAGTAAAGAAAATATATAAATAATAATATTATAAACTGATAAATTTTTATTTTATTTTATTAAATCTCACTTAAATTTTTAACCTGTCAATTTATATGAAAATATAAATTGATGACCGTTCAATCCTTTCACTCTATCAATTCACATAAGCGTATTTTTAATATAAAATTTTTGATACCCTTCTATTTTTTATTATATATTTTCCCGTTATATGAGGATATCTAATTTTTTTATTAAAATATATTCAAAAGGTGCTACAAATTATCACAAAGAACGTTTTAATTGATATATATATATATATACGGCCTATATATATATATATATATTATTCTTTAGGAATTTACTTGGAAATGATCGCTTATATTTAACACTTTTAACTTAATTTTAAATTAATAATGTTAAACTGAACGGAAAAAAATTATAAACATTATAATCGTAACTAACATATTAAGTTCTATGGCTATTTATATATAAATTTATTGATTTTTGGTTATTTTATTTTTTTTTATACTTGATACACTCATTTATCTATTTATTTTATTCAATTTTAATCAATTTTAACCAATCGAAAGTGTATAGAAAGGCATTATTAAATATTATATAACTTTACAGTATGAAACGATGATATAATTATTTGAATAATTAATAAATGACGTAATAAACTAGAAGCATTCGGTATTTTCATCTTCTCCATCAATCAGTAGAGTATTGCAGTGAAGCTACTTTTACAGGTTGTTAAAATTAACGTAACTCATTATAATTCATATATTAATATATTAAATTTAAAAATTGTTAGGCTCATCGTTTGCCTTTTTTATATACAATTTTTTTTTTCAAGATATCGCGAATGATAAGAAATAAGTTATTTAATTACAGGCAAGATTAAAGCAATTACAAAGCTACCCTATTTTGCGAGAATGAAATTTCCTCTTTTTCCCATCCCAGATAACTTCCACTCACCCCTGTCATCCTAAAATCGCAATGAACCTCTACCGTTTCCGTAGCAACTATGATGTCAAGCCACAACCCATTTAGAAAGAGAGCCAGTTTAGACTCCAGTGACAATGGAAACACGACTAACGTTAGATTAATACAACTCCTAGCTTGATTAGTGGGCGTTAGAATTAACCAAATGAGATAATATCGTCAGATATGTGTATTTAATGCGATATGATTGTTAGTAGACGTAGACATTCTGGCCTAAAAACGCCTACTTAGGAATGTTTGTTCCTTATCTCAACGTTGGGATAAGAATTTTCGGATATAACATAGAAAATTATGGATAAAGTCTGAAGGTAAGTTTACACACTCTTAATTTTTTTACATTACATAAACCAATACGGTTTTATAATATATTATATATACATATACACACATCTATATACTTATATCTTTTCCCGACGTATATATCGAACCGTTTATATGAAATTTATGAATTAAAGGGAAGGGAGTGTTTCACCAATTTTTGACATTTCCTAGAAAGACTGGACTGTCCGAGCCAAGATGGCTGCCTGCGTTTGCTTGTTTGCCGTACGACATTGGTAAAAGTTTGCGAGATAAAAGAGAAATAGCCTCAACTACAAGGAATTACGTATATTAAACAACCATCGATTGCTCGAAGGGGAATATCCATTGTTAGACTGTAGGGGTGGATAAATATTGGACAGGTGAAACGGGGGAGGTAAACGATAATTTTATTGTCAGCTTTGGTGTAAGAATTCGCCTTTAATGTAGATAAAACGGAAGAAATTTAAACTATAGAATCGTATTTAAAAAATGATAATTTTACAGGGATCATTTTTTTTTCTTAACTATTATCGATTATTATTTTTTTTTCTAATTTGTAGCTATTAAATTAAAGTTACTGTGATTTATAATTAAACCTTTATCATTAACATAATTCATTTATATTATTATTATATTAATTGCTTATTTAAAATGAAATTAAACCGAATTAATATTATTTATATTAAATAAGGGATTAAACTTTATCCAATATATAAATTTTTATTAGGGAAAAAAAAATTATATTTATATCCAAATTTTATAAAACGAATTAATCAATAATTAAGTTTGTAATAATATTA